CTCTGATCTCAAGAGTGGAGGAGTAGGGGGGAGCAACACCAACTGGAAGACTTTAAATGAGGTTAAATCAGAGAACCTGGGCCAAGGTGACAAGGCCGACTATTTTAGCTCTGTGGCGACAGTGGTGTATCTTCGCAAAGAGAACTCTATGTACCAGGCCTACCCAACTCAGGACTGCAATAAGAAAGTGATTGACCAACAGAATGGATTGTACCGCTGTGAGAAGTGTGACAGTGAATTTCCCAATTTCAAGTACCGCATGATCCTGTCAGTAAATATTGCAGATTTTCAAGACAATCAGTGGGTGACTTGTTTCCAGGAGTCTGCTGAAGCTATCCTTGGACAAAACACTGCTTATCTCGGGGAATTAAAAGAGAAGAATGAACAGGCATTTGAGGAAGTTTTTCAGAATGCCAACTTTCGATCTTTCACATTCAGAATCAGAGTCAAACTAGAGAACTACAATGATGAGTCTCGGATTAAGGCCACAGTGATGGATGTGAAGCCTGTGGACTACAGAGAATATGGGAGAAGGCTGATCACAAACATCCGGAGAAACGCACTTATGTGAGGAGAGCGGCACTGACTGGGCAGAAGTTTGCAAATAAAGATCCAAAATGGAAAAAAAAAAAAAAAAAAGAAAATCACCTTTTGTTTAGAAAGCTTCCAGAGACAAATTTATGAGGAAATGCAAGACTCATCTCTCTCTCTCTCTCTCTCTCACACACACACACACACACACACATGCATACACACACACAACAAAGCATCTCTTCCTGTGCATCCTTACAAATCAGATCAACCGCTGTAAAATAAGAGTCATGTTGCAGTAATAAGGATCTGGATTTCATTTGTGTGTTATTGTACTTATCCAACTTGCCCATGTATCTCAGACTGCTATGACATTTTAGGAAGTAAAAGAATAGATAATGGGCAGAAATGTAGGTCTATCACCTAAGATATATTCTTGTTACTCTTAAGAAGTTATGCTATATTTTTTAGAGGTAACTGTGTTTGGCAAAACATGTTTTTGATAGCCTCAAACTGTTGCTAATAAAATGAAATGTAAAGCTCAGAGAATCCATTTTTGCAAACAATCCCAGCTCATAATTTGATAGACTAGCACCTAATTTCAAATCAGTCTTCAAATATGCTAAACTTGGGAGAATAAACAAATTACCTAACAGACAAGGTGCAATTCTTTTAAGAGCTTTCTAGGATGTAATTTCTAAGAGAATCCAAATTATTTCTTATCTCCACCCATATCATCACTTTCCACACAGTGAAAGGTATGTGTGTCATTTATTTCTGTTTAAGTGATACATTCCATACTTCAGATCTTATATCATGATGGGACGTGCTGAATTAGTCTGCTTCAAGCTCATAAAAATGGCAAAAACACCACACTTGTTTTCATTTTTAGTTGCACCTGCATCTCTTTGTTTGGGAGGTGGCCTGAAGCTGTTAGATCCCCTTTGAGAACTCATGGAATGCTGTAACCTCCTGGAAATCATTAGTTAAAGGCTTCTAGGGAAGGCTAGGGAAGGCTAGGGAAGGCCTCTAGTTAAAGGCTTGCTTTAACTAATGATTGGTCTATAACTACACCAACTCCCTGCCCTTTGGGAGAGCCCTAAAGTGTGGCCTTCAAACATGTATTTCAGAACTGAACCAAAAGCTTCTCAGTAGAACTTTGCTTGACATCATGCCCCTGCTTAGCCAAATTCCCTTTTTAGTCCCATTTCTTCACACTCCTATTTTTCCTAGAAACATTTACTAAATAAGTCGCTTTCATACAAATCCCAGCCTCAGCATCTGCTTCTGAAGAAGTCAGCCTAAGACATCCACTGATACGTTCTCACAAGGTAGGGCCTGGTTCTGGCTACCCTGTGTAAAGCCCAGAGCCTGAAAGAATGGTGCTCTTGGTCCCAGAAGGCCCACCAGCCTCTGGAAATTATAAGGAAGTTCTCTAAATGAAAATAATAGAAAGGAAATTGTACCATGAGAATGTAAGACCCATGCCTTCAAAACACACATGTGGCATCAATATACATATTTTATGAAAGCAAGAAACCTCAAGCTAAGAAATTAATAAAAACTGGTTTGGGGCATGTGAAAGGCAGATGGAAAAGCAAAATTACTTCACAAAAACATTTCTACCATGAAAAAGATAGTCAACTCCCATAGCAGTGAGGGGGAAAGAGGATGTGTTGGATAATGAGAGAAGCTCACAGTCTACAAAACTGCAAACCTCACAAAGAAATGGCTTCGCCTTGATAACATCTCAATTCAGCAATTGGACAATTCTATGACCTGAAAAGAACAATTATACAATCAGTATGTTTAAAATGATTTAAAAAAAATAATGAAAACCACAATGAAATAACATATACTATGAAAAGCGCAGACAGACTTAAAAAAGACTGTAACATTTATAGATTATGAGGACAGAACACATACCTAAAATTTTACTCACTCCTGAAACCCTGCCAAAATTAAAAGAAAAATATTTCCATCCACAAAGCTGGAGACAGAAGCAGTGGACACAACAGTGATGGTGTTTTGAACCTGAAAAGCAGATGACCAGTGTTAATAACTTAGCAGACCCAGGGAAGATGAATACAACCAGCAGGCAGAAAAACTAATAACCCAACCCATTCTACCACGGAATTCTCAAAAGATTTTGAAACTAGCAGGACCTGGTAACTGTAGAATGGTAAATGAAGGAAAAGTGATTCCATCAAGAAGACTGGGGAAGGTGTTTCAGAAGCAGTTAGATTTCTACTAAACTCCCTCCCTTTTCTGATTCCCAGTCTATTTTTCAGAACAATTACCTCTATCTCAGAAGTGCAAAGACTTTCATTGTTCCCATTAATGTTGAAAAGAGTAAAACAAAGTTACGAAGATTGCTAATTGCTAGTCAGAATTTAAAGTATGTATGGGAAGTATACCAGAAAGAGGAAGGTTCAGCAATCATATGAATACTGGGTGCTGAATGGCTTGGCTCCCAGAATGCATCAGACCTCTCCCGTCAGTAGACATTAGACAGACTTCTGAGTAGCTTATCCACCCACAAGGAAAATTCCACAGATACTGATGCCCCCACAGAGATGTTCAAATTTGAACTTCACTTATATGCATACATCATCCAATTAACTTTCAAGTCCCCAGCTCTTTATCATGAATAATCAATCAATTGAGACTGAAAGAGCCACATAAAAACATTACTTTGGAAAAAAACAATGCTATAAAAGAAGAAAAATTAAAGAAAACATTATTAATATGTCCAGAGAAAATTGTTGGATCCATGAAAAAGAAAAGATTCTATTAACTCTTTTTAAATCATGGTAAACACAGAACACTCAAAAGAAGAGTTGGTAAATAAAATTAAGGAAATTGTCCAGAAAGTAGAGCAAAAAGGGATGGAGAAAAAGTGAGACGAGAAAATTAGAAGACTATGCTAGAAAGTCTAAAATCAAGTAATTTTTAGAAAACACAAAAAGAGAGAAAACGTAAAAATTAAAAAACATCTTTAACAAATCTTTAATAAAATATTCCAAAACATATTCCCCACAAATGAGTAATACAGTTTCTAGCTTCAAAGGGGTTCCATGCGTGTTCCCATCACTGCAACAATTCAGAACACAGGAAACATTAAAATTCTACAAACATTTAAACAGAAAAAAAAATAGGTAACACATGGTATGAATAAAGTAATCATATGTATCATCCTAACCAGAACCCTTTCAAATTAGATAATTTAAAAAATGTTCTAGACTGACACATTGATTTATTTTCATTGAAAGGCCTATAAGACTGCTCTATTCAAAACCTAGTTTCCAAAGCAGAATTGCTTCTGAGAAAAATAGCATATATCTGATATATTAAAGACAAAATAAAGTTCTTTCTATTGACTTTCTGGATATCAAATAATAAGCAGAATAATTAATTTTGGCACATAATGACTTATATTAATTAGTTTTAGCTGTTTCTGTATACATTTTCAGCTATTTCTAGCAATAGTAAGACATTTGTATTTTTCTACAAAATATTTATATTTTATTAGTCATATAGTTTTAATTATTTTTGTAAAATTTTCATCAATATTTTACAATTAATAGTTAACAATTTGGAAAGGTTGGCACCCTTTTTGGCTTTTCTAGGTAGGTCATATTTTTCACTGATAGAATACTTTTCCTATGGATGCTAAACAAACTGGTAGCTTCAGATCAATTTTAATTTTTCCCTATAGGATTATTTTGGCTCAACTATTTTCATTCAAAGTATCTTATCTGACAAGTATTTTTATAAGATAAAATGCATCAGCTAAGTTGTCCCTATGATTTATGGAAATAATTTAAATGCAGCACCATTAAAATCTTCTTCAAGTTATTAAATTCTGGTACAGAGAATAAATTTATCCAATTAAAACTAGAAGTTCCACCAAAAAAATGTTTCCATAAATCGAGATAGATTAAAATTATAAATTTTAAAAATTAAACAGCATTTGAGCTCTCATCATTTATTTGTTCAATACCTTCCTTGCTTTGGCAGAATCAATGTCCCTGCCTATTTTCAAGCTTCACTTGAGTAATTACAATTGACTGAAAAATTCTATAATTTTTTTCCTCCATTTATTGAATACTTTGATTAGAGCATGTACCCTCATATTAATTGGAAATTAAAAAAACTTCCAACAGACACGGAACAAATACAATTTAAAGGACTGATACCCAAAAGGCCTCATACTCTTGCAGGGCATTTTGGATGACATACAAATATCTCACATGCTCAAAAACTTCTGAAATACAATTGACAAAGAATAGCAAAGAAGACATGTGCTTCCATACTTTGTTTCTAAAGAACAGTGTTTTCCATCTCAACAACTATGTACAAAGTCACAATCACATATGAAGGTAGCATTTAAAAAGTAGGATCTAAAATAACTTTTTCTGTGCATTTATTCACTGAAGTATTGGAAAATGGGTTCTATTGAAAAGAGAAAGAAAAAGAATATTAAAAAAAAAATAAGAAAGACATGGTGTGGTAAGCTGAAAAATTTATATTTACCTCTCAAAAGGATATTCACTCCCTACTCCCTAAAACCTGTAAATATTACCTTATATGGAAAAAGATCTTTGTAGATATTAAGTTAAAGCTCTTGAGATGCTTTATCCTGGATCATCCAGATAGACTCCAAATACAATCTCATTTCTCTATAAGAAGGAGGCAAAGGATATTTGACACAGAGAGGAGAAGGCAATGTCACTACGAATACAGAGATTTGCAGATGCTGCCCTTGAAGACTGTAGTGAAGCAACCACAAGCCAAGGAATACTAGCAGCCACCAGAAGCCTAGAGAAACAAGGAAGGAATTCTCTAGAGCCTCCACAGAGAACATGGCCCTGGCAATACCTTGATTTTGGCTCAGTAAAACGTAATTTAGGACTCTGACCTCCAGCATGACTCAGGAGGCATGCTACCCTCCAAAAGAGCACTTGATATTATGTTTCTAGTTTACACAGACTAAATTCCAGGAACTAAGTGTAGGAATTGATATGAAGAGTGTGAGATAATGGTATGTCACATAATAATAGAACATAGAATTGGATCAGGTTGA